ATATATATATATATATATATATAATTTTTCTCCCTTCTGTGAAAACATGAAACTTTCCTCCCTCTCCTACATACAGAGGCATCCCCAGAGCAATGCTCCCATCCACAGGCACTCCGTAAACCTCCTGCTCACAGGCGGAAAACTGGAAAAACAAAGACAAAGGTCCTGCTGCCCCTTCACTGTATCAGTTACAGGCTGGGAATTCAGCAAATGGAAAACAGCGAGGGGGAACATGGGCTGGGTACAGCGGTCGGTGGTGAGAAATCTCCTTGTGGGTACACCTATGGAAAAGTTATCTAAATATGAAAATTGTTTTAACAATTGAAGAACACCTAGGGGAAAAAAAAAAAAAAAAAAAAAAAAGAGGAAACAAAAGGGTGTCACACACAACCTTATCTCCTGGATATCACTCACTGATCCAACATCATGCAGAGAGAGAGAATTCACCTCAAAAGCAAACCACGATGCTGAAACGGTCAGCGTATCGCCCCGATTCCCAGCTCACCATCAGCTAACGAAACACAGCAACATCTGATTTGACTGGGGTTTTGTGCATTTTTCTTCTTCTGCGGTAGCATCGCAGCAACAAGGATGGTTTAAGACCGGCATAGTTTGTAGTCATAGGTAATTAGGGGTTTTTTTATGTCAGAAGCTGGGAGCCAGAAGACCTCTTAACGAGTCATCTTCAGGTCCAAAGAGGAAGGAGAAGACTTGAAATAGTACAAGGCTGGAAAGCCGGAATCCTGGGATGGTTTGGGCTGGAAGGGACCTTGAAGATCATCTAGTTACCAAGTCCCTGTCACAGGTCCTTGGTCCACTGGAGAGGGTAGTGAGCTTAGCCTTGTTGTCAGTGATGGGGAGAATCCTCTGGGAATTAAAAGTTTTGGTGGACACTTGCAGAAGACACTTCTGGGATGTGAAGGAAGGCCGCGAGGCATCTGTGTGTTAGCAAAGTATTTTGGGAGGCAGAGGTGGGGTGTGCGAGGCTGATAGCTCAGGCAAACAGCAGGAAGGCCACAGTGACGGACCATGGTGGGAGAAGAGCCACCCTCCAGCTCCCAGCGGCTCCGCAGCCAGAGGAGATGACTGCAGACCAACCTCTTGGAGACACCGACCAGGATAACGCCTCCATTGCCTTCGCTCTTGTAAGCGAGGTTTGGCTGTTACCCCTGACATCTCCCTAGCATCTCCCAAAAGATCAAACGATCAGAGAGAAAACCAAGCTTCCACATCAGGCTGAAACATCTGCTCATGATTTGTTCCTGCAGTTCCTCCTAACCCTGAATAACACACCAAGTCTTTTTCTTTTCTTACTGCCTCAGCAATGTTCCTGAATTTCCTTCCATGTCCTCTCGTTCTCCTTCTCTCTGTAAATCTCCAAACACTAAAACTTCCCCTTGGATTTTTTTTTTTTTTTTGCGCCGTTTCAGTTTTTGACAAACAGAACTAAAGCTGCTCAGACCCGTGTGAATAACACACAACAACAAGGAAGAGTCAACTCCTGTCTTCCACCCTCGTCTCATCGAAAAAGTAATGAAAAGCAGCACACGACCTCCCTTATTTTTAGCTCTGCAGGTACGGTTTCCAGGAAGACTTATGCACCGTGACACCCCAAAGGGCCTGCAGGGCACTTATCTCAGAACTTATTATTTCACTTCAAATGTCTTGGATGAGGAGAAGTACATATGAAAAGCAGGTCCTTTTTTCCCCCCTCTGAGGCAGCATTTAAGCAGACAGACAGCACAGCTGAGGTCACAAAAAAAAGCAAGAGAGATGTTACCATTCAAGTCACCCTTTCAGATTCAGACAACTAAAATACAGGCCTCCTTAAAGACGCTAATTAATTTCAAACATAATGAAGCGTTATCTCCTTATAGCATTTCAGCAATTTCCTTCACTGGTAGGGAAGATTTAACGATAATGGAACTCTTGAACCGTTTCATGCCGTCACATTTGTTTGTAATGCACATACCCTGGAAATAGTTTACAAATCCAGCTCTTAGTTTTGAAAAAGATCTTTTTACGGCAGCTCTCTGCACCAGTGGTTTGATATCAGATCTGCAGCTGGCTCAAGACTGGCTATTGCACTCCTGGAATAGAGGAAAAAAAAATACATATTTGACTTCAGAAGCAGAAAGCCTGTCAGGCTCTCTCGGGGACTACTTAGTCTCCTGACTAACTTTCTAATCATTTAAGGACAAGTATAAATGTTCATGAACGATGAGATTACTTACTGTCTCCCCCAAGATTCTTACTGTGCATCACAAACATAAAAGTAACAGGATAAAAGTGCCACAGAAATTCAATTCTTCAGCAAGAAGCTGAGAAGAACCACTCAAGAAGATGGAAGATGGACACTGTAGGGTCCCCAGAGCTGCAAGATTGTTATAGAGAGATCTTGAGGACTGGCTGCTGGCCCATCGGATCCACATCCTTAGATGCTTAATTAGGGTGCTTCGTTTTGTGGCCTGGTTTTAGGCAGGCCTGACCATACACCGTCAAAGCCAGGCCTGCTTTGAGAAGCAGCACTGAACACTGAAAAAAAAAAAAAAACAAAAAAAACCAAACCACCCTGCTACTTCCCTGTACAAACGTAAGGTTGTGCATTGATAGGAAGGAAGTGAGAAAATAATTAAGGAATATAATGGAAACTACACAACAGCTGTTTGGAGAATCACGATGCCATGTGGAGCTCTCCTACATTTCAGGAATGGTTTTTAATTACTTCACTCAAGCCACGGTTAATTGTGCATTTCACACATGTGCCTTTAAACATTTGGGCCATTATTACATTTTCATGAGGTTCAACCCTGACTTAAATTCACACAGACATATTCCAAACCCAGGCAGCACCACAGATGCAATAAGCCAGATGCTGAGTAAAGCCAAAGGTAAGTGAAAAAGATAACATCGTTAAAAGCTTACGTAACGCTTTATTTACGGACCTTATTCTCAAAATATTTTTAATTACCAGACATAAAACGATATAAAAAAAAAACTTATCGCTGCTGTGGCACAGCGCTGTTTGCTCTGACACTGGTCTTCACACAGCGAAAAGTGCGTCCTTGAGTTTTTAGAGAAAAAAACAAGTGAGTAGTCCTACAGAAGTCAAGAGCCATTTGCTCCTAGAAGCTCATAAAGACTCACACCTGATTATGTGGGGGTTTTGGTCAGTTGGTTTACTGGTTTGGGTTTTGGGGGTTTGGGTTGGTTTGTTTTGTTTTGTTTTTTCCCTTTTTTGTTTTATTTTTAGTAACATGGAAAGCTGACATTTCTGAAATAAGCCTCCAAAATTTACAGCACACCTTTAAGGAGAAGAGGTGACGTTATCTGGCCTTACAGGAGAGAAATCTGAATACAAAAGAACAAAATTTACCTGAGCACAGGACTACAGGATTATCCCGTGATAAGCCAAGCTATACTGATCCTAAACCCACCTGTGGACAAATAAGTCCTGAAAGCAATAAAGCCCTGCCCCAGTGATGCCCAAATATAAATCTGTGAGGAATCGGAAACAATCTCCTCACACTCAAAGAAGCTGCGTCACTGTCCCAGTGATTTCTCCCATCCCCAAACATGACCGCCATAGAGGGATTTATTGCAAGCCCATTTCTCAGTCTTTGTTTCTCTGTCTATCTGTTTAGACCTGCGGAAAGCTCACTGAGCATTTTTGCCTGCAATCATTGCTAACACCCACCCGGTGCTGCCCCTGCCATCAAGCAGCATTTACAAGGGCAAGATGGAGAAGAAAAAGGTCGTCAAAACCCCTCAGGAGACTCCTCTCGTGTGCGGAGTTAAGCCGCGTAGTGGGTTTGGGGAAAGCTTTGGGGAAAGATCTGCACTTCTGCTGGGATCGGAGCTAATTTCTCAAAGAGAATATCCTGGACATGGGGAACGTAGGGGATAGGGACTGAGCATGGGAGAGAGTACAAATGGAAATCCTAGGGAGCAAGAAAAAGATGGAGAAAAGAGGAAAACTTGGAAAAAAATGAAGGATATAAGAGGTGTGATTGATTGGAAGAGGGAAAAGGAATGGAAACAGGTGAAGAGAAAGCAGCAGGTGATGCAGCTTTAAGAATAAGTAATTATATATATAATCATGTATGTTTATCTATTCTGTATCATGATACAGTGCATCTATTGATACAAGAGCCATGCATACCCACACGAATATAAAAGTAGTTGCAGGCCATCGCTCTTGGTAAAATGCCAGTGTGGCTATGGGGCTGAATTACAATACCTACACCTTGCTGGATTAAAAAAAAAAAAACGAAAAAGAAAAAAAAACAATCTTCTGCTTCCTGTGTTCAGCATTAAGGTAATCTTCTGATCTCCAGAGAGCAAAGCATCCCGTGTATTCTTACTTGCATGCCAGAACTCAGGAAGCAGCTTAATCTCTCAAATAATCCTACCAGGAGCAGTGCCCAAGCCTGAGGGAGATGCCGAAGTGCTGAACATGAGATTGCTCCACTCCACTGCGAGGCAAAATCTGGGCTGCCCAAATTGCCCTTCTGTTGATCCGAGGCTGCACGGTGAAGAGGTCTAAAACACCTCACTCCACCTCCCATGAGACTGAGCACAAATTTTCAGCCTCGTATTTCCTACAGTATCTTCTCATTTAGGCATTTCTTTCAAATTGCTTTCAAAATATAAAAAATAAATAATAAAAAAAAGATGATCCTAGATTTTGAGCTATTTTTATATCAACTAGAGTATTTTACGCAACTACCTGGATATGAAATATCTCAAGACAGTGCAATGCTGATGTGTTTCTCTATTGTGCTGCTCCTCTCTTTTTTTCCCCTTACAGCTTGGCTTTGTCCACTATGCCAGGTAATTTCTTTCTCACTGGGTACACTGGAGCCAACTGTTAGCATCACTTCCAAATGTAAATGTCTCCAGAAAAGCCAGCTCTGCCAAGCAGGAAAACAGAAAATTTTGAGCTCGTAACCTGTCTCCAACCAGAAACTACCACTGAGCAGAGCTCCCTGCAAACCAGGATGTAATTTCAGCTGCGCTTCGCTGAGGAAAGAGGGGAGGAAAAAAACGTGGAAAGGAGATTGAACTAAGGCAAAACTGAGGACAACATTCTCGCTTTCTTCTCCCAGATCTTAAGACTGTTGTATCTGGCACAGACTACCAGCTGCCTTTAATTGTTTTGTACTGCACACTAAGCCAGACTGGTCTTACACCTGCAATTACTTGAAAGACTTAAGAACCACACAAAGATCATCAAATACGGGGGACTTCAGGGCGTCCTCTAAATCTGTACTCGGACACAAGGAGCTGCAGCAATGAGAGTTTTAACACCACCACGCCCTAAGCCGAAGGAAGACTTTGTTCTACTGCTCTAGGGAAAACAACTTGATCCTAGTGCAGATTTCCACACACACACACCCCACACACAGGAATACCGCAGACGTGGCACCGCTCTGCCACCCCAGCGCTGAGTGCCTTTTAAATGGGGAAAATGCGAAAGCTACAGCTTCACTGCTCTTAATTCTCTTTTCTCACAAGGCAACTCAAATGATCAGCTACCCAAAACCTAACAGCTTCATGCTTTCCAAGGGGCTCGAATTCACACAACACTTATTTTTTTTGACATATTGCTTTATTTTCTGGCATGCAGTATGCGTGTTTTCATCTGCTTTAATTGCTTATTTCTGTCTCCTAATTTAATTTGTACTACTATCCAAGTTGGTTTTTTAAAAAAAAAAAAACAAAAAACTCATGTTTTGTGTTCATGCAGCTTTGGAAACTCATTTGGCATGGATATATGCTTTGTTTCTTCATGCTGATATCTTCTTTGTAGCAGTTATTCCAATAGAGTCTCTCAGCGGGACACATTCCAAAATATAATGTAAGTGCTTCCAAGTTGGGTGGCAGGATATGTATTAGGATGGAAGGAGGCCAAGCAGGTAGATGGAAATAAGGGGACTACAGAGCTCCAGTCCTCTCCTTCCCGCTGAAGTGTGGGTAAACCATCGAATCATAGAGTGGTCGAGGTTGGAGACACCTGTAGAGATCACGCGGTCCAACGTCACTGCTCCAAGCACACCAGCTAGATCAGGCTGCCCCAAGGAACAGTCAGGTTTTGACTCCACAACCTCTGGGCAACCCGTTTGGCAAGAACGTGGAAGGTTTCTGGTCTTCCCACCCCAGAGTCCACATGTTCTTGACCTCCAGGCTCACGGCTCCCGAACAGAAGCTGAACTACCTGTGTTTACGATGCACCATAAGGACACAACCACCTACACAACTGCCCTTCTGAGGCCACGCTCTAACACCACTCAGCAACTTCTGTATTCGTGAGAAGGTCTGCAAAGCCTTGGAGGAAACCGAGGAACAAACTTTACCAGCTGATATTTTCCTGAGTGGAAACGCTTTTTCTGGAAGGTTTTCCTCGGTGACAGAACAAACACAATCACCTCTATTTACCTGCTGATCCTCTTTTTGCTTTGGCCTGTCATCCAAATACAATATGCCAAAGATTAGGGGGGTTTTCCACTTTCATTTTTATTCTTTCACTCACTTCTATCCTGAAAATGCATCCTGCCTCACAGAGCCCAGCTCAGATTCAACTTACGCTTACGCTGAAACACCAGCCATGCGCTGCTGAGGCATTTGGTCTGTACTACACTGTATTTGCCACCTTAAAGCCCTCACATGACTAGTAAAGCAGCCTCAAACCCAGAGAATTACAGTGCTCCTGCCATTTGCAGTCATCTGGTCCTTTATGATGCCCTCAGACATGAGGAAGGGGCAGACAGAAGAGGCGCTGAGTCTCTCTTGAGGATTCTGGGTGGGTAGAAGGTGGTGAGGAACTCTTCGCTAGGATTACTCAGAGGTCGCTGCATCAGTCGTACATTTTTCAGTCAGTTTAAATATGAAAAGTTAACGTCCACGTTCTGGTTCAGCATTTCCAGCTCAGGCCTGTACCATCTAGGTGATGTCCATGTAAGATGCAGCAGGAACACGTTGAGGCACAGCTCTCAGGGTGCTGTTCCCCAGGGAACGGTACGCATCAGCATGAAAACAGACTGTGGCAAAAGAAGATGACCCACTGCCTGGCTAAAACGCCTGCCAGCTGTGGAGAACAGGTTGCTGGTCTATCTGCTCTAGCACAAGCCATTTACAGGAACCACCGTTTGCTACAGGTTTAAGCCCACCTAAGAGTCTCCAGCAAAAAAATTTTAGTGCTCAGTCCAGGCAGTTTGTTGCAATACTACAATTAACCCCAAGCTCATCAAAGAGTCTGTGAATCTCCAAAACTGTAAGACAGACAGAAAAGGCAGGTGATCAGAGGTGCAGAGTACACGGAAAGCAGGCTCCTCTGAAAACCGATTTCTTCATTTTCACCCTCCTCGGGAGAAAAAAAGACAAGCATAGTGGGGGAAGTGCAAGGATTGCACGTGTTCTGCATAGAAGATAAGAGTCATACCGTGTAAAAAAACCACATTCAGCTATACAGGGAACTCAGGACCTGTCATTAGCTCCAGAGACTTCATAGCTGCTGCAATTACCATTCCAAGCTCGCTCACCACAGCTCTCAGCTTCTTCAGAGGTCTTGAGAAAAGTAGCTACAAGCTCCAGCTCATCTTACTTAGAACGTTTAAAAAAAAAAAAAAAAAAACCAACAAAAAAAAAAACAACACACACAACACCATACCAAACATAGAAACCTCTACAAAGCAACAAAACCTTTGGCCATCTCAAGTGACGTGCATGAATAGCCAAGACATGATCTGGCACGCCAAATTGCCCTCTGTCCTTCCTCTGCCGAGTTGCCAGCATGCGTGTGTGTATAATGATATTTTCTCTACGCTGTTCCTAGCACAGCCCCCTCAGCACTTTCTCAAAGCAAAATGTTACAGACCACAGCCTTTCCTCTGTGAGAAAAATCTCGACGGGCAAAAGTGGGAACAAAAAGGCTGGGGTTGACCTTTCGGTTCATTTTTATCTCCATGGGCACACCAGATATCTTGTATTCATTTAAACAGAGCTCCAATAAGCAAAGCACTATGTAAAAATGAGACCACCTCCCATGAGGCTTTATTAGTACGCCCCCAAAGCCTCCAGGTGACTTAAGCTGAAGTGACCTCCACTGCAAATAAAGCAGGAGCCCTGAGAGTGTTCGGAACGGTGTTGTCAAAGAGAAGCAGCAGCCTGGAAACTGCTGCAAGCAAACGAACAGCACAGCAGGGAGCAATCGGCGCTTTAGGAAAAATATCTGCGATGCCTTCTGGTTAGTTAATCACACACCTTGAGGTAGTGCCAGTGGGCTGGCAGCCAACACCCCGCCCTGCTGCACCCTCGCGATGCTTTTGGGGAGATCGTGCCCAGGGCTGGCTCAACCGGGGAGAGGCAAGGACGCCGGTCGGGCACTCGGCACCACCACCCACCATCCTGACATGGATGCAAAGCAGAAAAAGGTTATAGCTACTTTCTGGTGTAGAAGCAAGCAGGTGATTACCTGCCTGTTGCTACGGCCAAGAGATAACACACATGAGGTAAAACCCCCCTCTTGGCCCACCTCCTCCTGGCTTTAACATCCTACTCCCAGGGACAGGAGAATGAGAGTAATTTAGGGGCTAATTCAAGCTGAGGAGCAGGCAGGGATGGAGTAGGCTGTGTAAAAGGCACAAACAAGCAAATCTACCCTACAGCAGAGATTAAAGCCAACGCCAGATGATGCTATTTTGAACCTAATGGACTCTGAGCTGTATATTAGCAGTGGGTAACCAGGAGGTACAGATGTACCTCTTGGAGGTCAGGTTGTCATGAACTGACTTGCATGGGAGGCCGTGGAAATGGAGTCTTATTTTTCTCTAGCAAGGTAAACCCGTTCCTCCCAGGAATAAGCCAGTTCTCATTAAAAAAAAAAAAATATCTGCATCCTCTTTCTCTGTTATATATGTTTCATTTCATGCACATGGAATATTACAGTTTTCCAGAGAAAGACTCGGGTGTAAAACCTACACACACACACTGATAAATGGGAGCCCAGATGAGATTTCCAGCTAAACAGAAACTCAGGGTATATAACAGGGACAAAATTATTATTTACATTCAAACATACAAACAGGAGCAGAGCATCCCTTTCTGGGGGAAAAGAAATGCCGACACCAGTTCTCAGGCTGGGTGGCTTCTGGATGGAAACCTTGGAGCTGGAGAGAGCAGATATGTACATTCACACTGGGGCACACCACGCATGACAAGACAAAGCCAAGTGTAAGTACCCTAATATAAAGGCAGGAGGAATAAAATATCTTGGAACTTCACTGCCCTGGTCTCCAACTCTTACTACCACAGGTATCTCCAACACGTAGCCCTTCCTGTGAACTATCCACCTTTAAAGTACAGAGCTGTTTTTCACCCCACCGCTACTACTAAAAAATTGTTCTGGAGCCTCACTATCCTCACGGTTATAATTCTCCTTCCTAATTGGAGTCTCAGATGTCTTCTTGCTTTGTTTTATATTGATTTGTTCTTGTGCAATTGCTGTTCTCTGGCTTAAATACCTAAATAAGTAAGCACTTTTGCCTTTTCTGCTGAGCTTACTGGATCCCCTCTCAACTTGCAATTAGCTCAGTTAAAGAAGCCAAACCCACAGGACAGAAAGGCTTTCCAGCTCACGGCTCTTCCCAGTCATCTTTCTCTCCCACCACAAGCTCAGCTCCCTTTTGGCATCAAGCAAAGGCAGATGTTAGCTGAAACGTGCAGGTGGAAGATCAGATAAATTTAGTGGAAGACCTGATACACCTCACTGTAGGCGAACCTGCCGTTGGCTAAAACACATTCAACATGCTCAACGTTTTCCCAGTACAGGTAGGCTTGGTGTATTCAGGCTGGAGAACGAGGTGGAAGACTCGTTAGGAATGCTGTAGGTCAGTAAGAAATAGTTAATTAATAGAAAGTGATCTGCAGGGCCTAGGACTTGATCCAGTCGCCCAAGATGCAGAAATATGACTAGCCAGTATCAGTGCAGGGAAGTGACTGGGAAGTGACTGCTATTCCAGTGTTTTGTGATGCATGTGCATCAAAACATATCAAAGGAAAGGCTGGGTGTGCACAGAGATGCATGGCCTTCTACAAGAAGCCTTGTGGGAATGGCTACGCCCTCACCGTGAGATAAGCTGACCTACTGAGATGCAGTGGGGCACATCCAGCTCAAACTGTGCCATGAGTCTACACCCCTTGGTACCCACGTGGGGGTCAGGCAGCAAATGGTGATCACCACCTCCTCGGGCAGCACATCGCACACCAGGGTCAAAAAGGGTGAGGGGTTCTACCTTGGATCTAGGAGTAGGAATATGGTCTTACTTTGTGTTTGTGCCAGAGACTACCCTTAGTCAAATCAGATTAGGTGTTGGAATGGGCTGCCCAGGGCAGGGTCAGGCTGGCTCTGAGGAAGGATTTCTGTGCAGAAGGGGCTGTTGGGCGTTGGAATGGGCTGCCCAGGGCAGGGGGGAGTCCCCGGGATCCCTGGAGGGGTTGAAGAGTCGGGCTGAGCCAGCGCTGAGGGATCTGGGGGAGTTGGGAACGGTCAGGGGGAGGGTCATGGTTGGGCTGGAGGAGCTGCAAGGGATTTTTCCAACCCCAATGATTCTGGGTTTCTGTAAATATATGCAGGTCAACTGGGTGCAGATAAAAAACCAAAAGTAGCACGAGCCTTGTTCTCACATTGTGTGTGCCACTGCTGAGTGGTGAACCTTCACAGCCACATGGGCTTGGCTGACACCATCGTGCAGTTTGATTAGCCCAAGCATTTTTTTCATAACCCATTAAATTAAAAAAATGAACAAGACACACACTTGGGGAGAAAAGAAGGAAGACTGGACCCAATTTTCTACCAGTCTATAAGTTGTCACACAACACCGGGCGGCCATGAGGCATCTGTCACCCAGACTGCATGCCCACCCCGGCACGAGCTGCCTGCACGCAGCAAGGCAGCTCTCTACATTTCAACCGCCCCAGCAAACAGTTGCGACTGCCATCTCCCTTCGGAAAGGCTGCCAGCAGGTGTATGATAACGAGAGGTATCTGTGATGATCACACTGTTTCCCACACTGGCAAACTTTAATAATGACTGATAAGCTTTTCATTGAGTGTGTCCTTTTTCACGCTGTTAGGGGCTTCAACAAATTTATACATTAGCACATACATTAGCTTGCTGCACAGAAAGACAAGAGACTTCAACAAGCACAGAAAGCCCTAGCCCTGCTATGAATAACAAATATATAGTTTCATCTTCCCCTCCAGTCTGTTTGCAATGCGAGACTATAGCCCTGTTCACTTTTCAGAGGACAAGGATGTAAGTGACAGTGTCACCTCCAATCCTCCACAGACCTCAGCCTTGAATGCCAAATCCTCCCACAGCTTCAACTTCCCAAGTGTCACAACAGTCGCATCTAGGTTGCTGTCCTTCATGTCACCAAGTGGCTATTTTCCAGAAAGCAAAAAAAAAGCATATTTTAAGGAGAAACAACACTCCAAGACTGAGATTTCTGCCTCTGATGAAGAAATACCCTTTCTGTGACTGTAAGGAAGCGGCGCGGAATGAGATTCACACCGAATATTACAGATACGCTACGTTGCTCTGTTGTTTCCTCCAGAGTAGTATCTAATTTAGAGAGGAGCAATGAAAGGGCACCGCTGTTTTTACTGAGGAAAAAAAAAAAACACAAATTCAGAGATTTCTGCAGGCATCTGGGCTATTGTGCTGCAATCAGGACCGCAGAACAGCAGCTTTCATTGAAAAAATTGATTGCAGAGACGGCATGACTACGTAAATGAAGGCCTTCCCACCCGCAGCCTTGCAGCCAAATGCTGACAAACAGAAGGAGGGATCCACATCACCTCACTTAGCACCCGGCTCTGGGGGTCAACCGCCACGGACATCACCACTTGAAGAGCGATGACTGCTGCTCCTCACGCATAACTGGCACTACCAGGTCAGCTCTGTCAGCCTCCCCTCTGCAGCCCCCTTCTAGTGCTGTATTTTTGGGTGATCGCACCCTCACGATGTTTATCTCACCTCCAGGTCCATCCTCTGTGACAGCACATCCCCCACCACCAAGCACCCAACCTGCTGCTGTCCTCAGCCAAGTCCTTCCCTCACGCCCTATCTGCCTTTCCTAGCAAAGAATAAAGACCACGGAGGGTGGATGGAGAGAGACAGCAGCTCACTAAGAGTCTTAGCTCAAGTTTAACTTTTCTTTAGATCCCCCAGCATATAATGCCTCTGCTAACCCAGCTTAATCGTGTTTTAGGGCAAGCTTGAATTATTTCTTTTCTTTCCCATAGATATGTCACCGCAATGAATGATGGATAACATGGCATCTGACAGTGATGGCACTGCTGTAGGGATAACAGAGGCTGCAGATTGACAAACAAATCCCACAGAGAAGCTGGATAACCTTGGCCACCCCTCAGTTCCTGGGCAGGAATTCACATTCAGCTGCACTCTCATACTGTCACTCCTAAAAAAACCCCAAACCTCCACCGTGTCTCATTATTTTAAGAATTTCCTCTCTTTTTTCTTAACATGGTCTAAATTGATCACCCAACCTTCTTTTCATCCCCAAATCTGACTCATCTCAAGACCTACATCAACACCATCTATGAGGATGAGGCTGCCCAGAGGTCCCAACCGCTTCTTTGGAGACCCAGATGCTGCTGGGCTGAGGTCTTCCCACCATCTTCTTCCACTCCGATCACCTGTCGTGACTTTGGAAGCGACAACACGGCCGCAACTTGCTCATCATATGGGACATGGGGTGGAGGGCGCTGTCAGTTCGTCTCATGTGAGTCAAGGTCTGGATCCCTGGGCACCCCAGAAAGTCCTCCTGGCTCTGAGCCTGTCTGGGATTGCTCACCAGAAGCCGGCATCTGGATCTTGAAGGTGACGACTCTCAGCTGAAGCACACCAACAGCACCTTGATCTCAATTCAGCAATCATAATCCCTGGGTCTTGAATTTGCCAGAACTCAGACAAAATTCCTGGAGGCAGACAGAGGACCCAGATACCTGACAGTTCCTTTTTTTAAAAGGCACCGACAAGTTGCTAGATTTAAAAACTGACCTACTTTAGTGGCTGTTTCATATTGAATTTTTTCGCTTCAGGACACCAGCTATTCTTCTTCTGCTTCTTCCTCCAAAAAGCGTTTTTGCACTTTGAAATAAATATAAATATAAAAAATAGACATGCCACTCCAATTATGGCAGTTTTCCTGCCAGGTTAAGTGCAAGCCATCAAATATTTTTGTGAAATATAGACCAGAGAAGTACCAGAAAGATATACATAAATGGTTTCCTCTGTCATGTCTCTCGTTTCACACATTTACATGTTAAATATCCACGTACCTTTGTGACAGGCAGCGCTCCTATGCACAGTTTAAAAGACTAGATATCCCTGAGCACTTACACCAACCTGGCAATCACAAGCTACTCAAAGGCACAAATACTCGAAGAAGTAACAGCGATATTGCTTCATCTGTCAGAGCATCAGGTAACCCGCTGACCAGAAGTTAGTACCGTTTCCTCAACACCGCTGCTTCACCAGCTACCAGGATCACACCCCTAACTGGGCCGTGGTGGGAAGGACTGGTTATCCCCCCCTCTGTTAATGACACTGGCTAAGGATGAGCCAAGCTACTGACAGCAGAAATCGTGTCTGTGGTAAAAAGAGGCATTATACATCTCTAATCACTGCAAATAAATATATTTTCCTTAAATTGAAAGCTAACTTCTACTGAAATGGCCTACATGCATTTGTGCAATAAAACAGAAACTGGAAGAATCATTACAAATATTTCTCCCAGAAACTTACGCTCAGTCTAGCACTAGCTGAATTTGAATCTCTTGCCTACGCAGGCACCCAGATTGCAAGCATTTGTTTAAACTTGTGCCACCACCATGTTTTACAGCCCCAAAAGAAATCTTTTTTTCCCTGTAGATCAGAAGACCTCAGTCCAACACAGGACTGACTTTACTGCTAAACAAAACGTCGTAATAGGCGGCCTCTCTACAGCCTTTAAATGAGCCTTAAAATGTTTATAATATGATTAATAATATAATCGCTAGTCTTGCTGGATTTTCGCCTAAACCACGCTCTCTTGGTTTCTACACCGAAGAGAAACTGCATCCCAGTGCTCCCATAACAACGACTTCACAGAAACCCAGAATCATCTCAGTTGGAAAAGCCCCTGCAGCTCCTCCAGCCCAACCATGACCCTCCCCCTGACCGTTCCCAACTCCCCCAGATCCCTCAGCGCTGGCTCAGCCCGACTCTTCAACCCCTCCAGGGATCCCGGGGACTCCCCCCTGCCCTGGGCAGCCCATTCCAACGCCCAACAGCCCCTTCTGCACAGAAATCCTTCCTCAGAGCCAGCCTGACCCTGCCCTGGGCAGCCCATTCCAACACCCAACAACCCAACTCCACGTGCAGTGGAAACTACTCAAGCAGTTTGTTCTGTTCAATCAATTCCTTCCCAAGAAGAACACAGTCCAGCCCAGTTTCCTGCTTCGATCCAAAGCACAATGCTTCAAAGAGTATCAGCATATTGTTCCCGTAGGCAGCTGCACTTTTAAACACATCAACCTGTGGAAACACCTTCCTGACTCTTACTCCTCTTGAATACACCGGATGAAAGTCTTCAGATTTTTTTTTTTTTTTTTTTTCCCCAGCAGCAAGAGAGGGGTTTTGGCTAAACCCTTGTGTCTGCGACAAGCAGCAAAACAATTTGGTGTGCTATTATGAAGGACGATACGGCTTAATTAAAACTGAAAAGGAGATCAATTGCATTGATATTTGAAGAAGTGTTTCCTTTAGAGATATGACCGCACATTTCTATTAACAAAGCTTATCTAAGAAGTTGCGGACCTCCTTCAAAACAAATTCAGCCACAGGTAGCCCTGCTGAGCTTGTCTGAAGCTGTACACCTGCATTTCACTGCTTTCTTGGAAACGCAATAGCCAGGCTCGTGAGAGCAAGGCGGCATTATACGGCTGTGCAGGGAAGGCAGCTGAAGGGCTCTTTCATTATGGGAGGAAAAAAAAACCCACAAAAATATGACACTGTTCGACCAGGCACTCAGATAATCCAGTGATGGGCACTGTTGGAATACCAGCAGCACACGGCTACAGGTGAAAGCACACAAATTCAACAGGAGTCGAGGAAGGGATGACAAGCAGTGGTGTGTGGGGCTTTTTTCAGATTTATTTTTTCTCATTATGAGCTGCGGGTAACGGTCAGCCCGAGGCGACGGGGTGCAGGAGCACACTCTGTGTGTCTGCAGGAGGAGACAGCTGGCCCTGCGTTCAAAGGCAGCGCCGCACACCATCCTGCTTTAAAGTTTATCAAAGCATTACTCAGATCATCAATTACAATTTCATTTTGAGAGGGAAAAACGACGCTAACAAAAAAATGAGGAACGAGAGCAACAAGAGAGAGAAGGGAGAGGAGGAACAAATAGATTTGTAATGGTCTTCCAGAGACGTTAATTAGCGAATGGATGCTCTTGCAGGTAAGTAGCAGATATATTGCAGTTTTCATAGTGTTTCAAGTGCAGAAGTGTTAGTGAGCTGATATATAATTATTCTTTAGGTCCAGGTACTTG